CTATTCCTCCCGCCTGCTTGGTTGAGATGAGAATCCGAATGAACAGGGGAATCATCCACACAAGATGTGTACAACAGGCTAAATGAACATGCTAATGGGATGGCATCTGCTACAAACAAGATGTGTACAATAGGCTAAATGAACCAATCAAGAATGAACATACTAATCTTCCATACAGGTACATGTACCCGTTGTATGGTGCAGTTGGGTGTTTTCCCTCTTAATTGGGTTGCACACATCCTGTTTGTAGAAGATCCGAAGTTTCTGATGTATGGAGAGAGAGAGAGAGGGAGAAGGTACCTTCAATCGGGTCTGTAGTACCTTGAGCATGAACGTGAGACTTGAGACAGAGGATGTAAATACAAATGAGTCCGATGGTGAACGCTAGAGAGGATGGAAAATCAGAGTTGACCATCTTCTCTGTCCTCTCCCGTCACCGGAAGTCTGAAAGCAGAGAAATCTATCTAGAGGAGAAAGGAGATGAAGTTGCTTAATGTCTTAAAGAGGCTGATATTGGGTGGGTATATTTGTTTCTGATATTCTAGCTAGGTGAAGTCTTTTTTCCCTTTTTTTTTGTGGCAATATGATTTTCTACGTGGAAGTCTGAGCTGAGGTATTGACTTTTCAAGGGGACCCATTGAAGCAATTTGGCCATTTGCGTGTTCTTATCACCAAAATCGAAAACACCTATCATCTCATTGTCAAAACAAATTTACTACTAGTCGGGACGGTTTGAACCTGGATAATTTAATCAGGATCCTCTTCAGATGGTTTAACCTTGAAAATTTATTAAGCCAAAAATCAGCTAAAAATTCAAGGGAAATTTGCTGATAACACTAAGCATGATTAGAAAGTTTTATTAATGAACTACCCATAAGTTTTTCCTATCAATTAAAAAGCCCCATAGAGTATGGCTTTTTTCTTTTCTTATTCTTTTTGAAGAGGGTGACATCTCCTCCAAGTCCAACCCATTTTCTTCTCTTTCTGTCCATCCTCCTCCCTTCATCCCCTTCATCCCCTTCTCTGGTCTCTTTTGTTAATGCCAATGGGTATTAGAAATCAAGGAAGGATACATTTGAGCACATAACACTTACACTTACTACTAGAAGAAAAAGCCAGCTGAACTGTAATGAGAAGGCAATATTGGATTCAAAGGCTAATCCAGGTGAAAAAGCATTTGGTTTCAGCTTAATGTTAAGATAAAGGCCATTGCCTAATGTTAGTCCCAGCTATCTAGGGATAGACTGGATACTGTCTTGATCTTAGACTCCAACCTCTGTTCTCAAGCTTGCCAACTCAAAATTTTACCATTACACCAAATAATGGTAGGAAGATGCTTAGCTTAAATTCAATTAGATCAACTCAAAGTGATGCAAGTTGTGATTTGAGGTGTTGTAAGAAAAATGATTATTTACATTCAAACAGGAACGTTACAAATGAAAAGGCCATCAATGCCTCAATGATTGATACCGTCAAATACTATGCGAAATTTTAAACCTTGGTCAATAGTTTTAAGCACTGTTTTTAAAACCGGACTGGACCGGACAGTTGGACCGGAAGAACCAGGAACCAGTCACCTGACCGGTTCTATTTATTTTCAAAACTTCTTTTTCCCCCAAAACCGTTGATTTTGGTCAATAAATCGTTGAATCGGCCAATTAACCGTTTAAACTGTTCGAACGGTTTTAATCATTTTTTAATTTTTTTGTCAGAACAGATCGAACAATCAAACTGTTCAAACCAGTAATCGGACCCCTGACCGGTTCGGTCACCGGTTCATTTTTAAAAACCATGGCTTTAAGGTTTCTTTTGGCATGCTCAAAGAAACAGGTAAGATAAGGACATGAGCAATATGAATGCATTGAAGGTAATGCTGGAACTGGACCCAAAAGACCCACTAAAAAAAAGGCTAATGCACACCACTTTGTTTGCAGTGCACATGGGGCCTGTTGCATATCCCATCCATGAGTCTGGATAGGCTACTAAGTTAAATGCAGCAGGCTATGGGACTTATCAAGAGGGAACATGTTCCATGCATACACACCTAAGGTATATACGAAACACTGAAGTGTTCATTCTTGATAAGTCCCATAGCCCATTGTACACAATTTTGTAGCTCATTCTCTCTCATGGGTGAATCTGGATGGACTGAATTATAAGACTTATCAAGAGTGAATAGGCCCCATGTATAAACATTGGGACGTCCATTTTTAATTGATTGGTTGATTGATAACTTATTTTACACGACTTATTTTTAATTGATAAATTATTTTACAAATTAATTGATTGACTGATTATGGATTGATTAGCCCATTAAAGGGACACCCATGGTACTCCTTGAGTGCCAACAAATTTGCAGTCATCATACTTAATTTGGAGTTTTGTGCAATCTTTAGAAAAATAAAAAATAAAAAAGTGTCACAGGCCTTATGATAACCAAGAGGAAATGCAGCTCAAGACATTTGTCCGCCTCCCATTGATTTGTTAGCCTAAATCTAAGTGTGACTATGACAACATTCTTCTCTAAATTCAAATGCAACCTTTGTAAATAATCTTCCCTAAAATCTAATTCCAGAGACATGGCGAATTTTCATGTAGGTTGTTTTAGTGCACCAGTATATCTAAGGCCCCAAATTGCAACTAATGGTCCTGTATCTCTCAGGAGCAGGATGTCCTTTAGGGTCATATGTGAATGTGGCAAGGGATTTTTCTTCAAACATGTGGCAAGCCTTCCACTAGAAAAAGAGATTCCGGATCTCCTGCCCACAAAAATTCTATTCATGTCTACTTATAACATGCTATTCCCATGTATTGGAAATATTTTCCTATATAGAATACTATGCAAAAGGATGAGATATTTTTCATGTGTGACTGTGACATTATATAAAGACATAGGCAGAATTCTTGTGGGCAAGAGATCTGGACTCAGAAAAAGGGTAATAATTTAGAATGGCATATGTCCCACTCTAGCCTGTTGGTAAAGACTTTGGCTGGTTGTGACGGAGACCTAGGATTGAGTCATACCTTCACTAGTGTTGCGGGAATTTTTCCACCCCACTGGTTGTGTAATATTTGGGTTGAATGGGATTGGATTACTTGATGCTTCAACTGGACCCAATCCAGCCCAAGTTTTAACCCAATTTGCATTACTTGGCTTTTGTCAAAATTTGAACGGGCCTGGAGTGAATCCAGAGCCCGATGCAGTGTGAATTCAGGCCCAAAACCCAGTCCATGAACAGGTCTAGCCAGTAGTAGGAAGAGGAAAGATGAAAACAAGAAAGCAAGATGTGTCCACAAGTATCATTCTCCACCTGTGAAAATACAACAAACGGGTTTTTGATAACCAACGTTTTGGCTTCCTTGAAGGAGCTTAACAGATATAATGTCGAATACTAAATAACATGAGAACTGTGGGTGAGTTGAGTAGCATGGCTTCCTTGAAGGAGCTTCCTCCGAGTTATGGTAGGGGAATGGATTTTGAATCCTCTCCAAAACTGAGCTCATTGACCCTATCAAATCCAAAACACAAGCAGGTTGCACCAGTCTCATCAAAACAGTCATTCAGCCTATACCAACATATACAATGACCACAACCATCCTTCATCATTGAGATCAAGAAGCAGAAAAGAGATTTATAGTGGTATGAAAGCGAGGACAAGACCACGATGTATACCTACCTGGTCAAAATTCTGTATTCCAGAAAGAAAGGAGGCTTGGACTTTAAAAATGGATTCCTAATTTAGAAGAGTATTACTATAAAAGTGGTGCATTGGATAAAAATAATGGAGATTTTCAATACACAGTGGAAAACATTATAAGAACTTGGGGAGCAATAGCAGTTTCTTCTTCAATGAACAGCCCAGTCCATGAAGAATGGAAACCCCTAATTAATAACAAGGTGAAGCTGAATTTTTTTGAAAGCTCTCAAGCTGAATTTTGATGAAACCCTGTTTTTGCACTCATCTTATTTGTTTGAAATGGTGTAAAGTGTGGGTCCATCATTAAATGCTCCAATTATCTTATGCTCCTATGCCTTAATTTTGGTCAAAAAGTTAATTATTAAATGAATACAAAATTATATATAAAAAAAATATAGTAATTCGCTCTTTTCAGAATACAAAAATGTCAGAAAATACATTTTTGATCTGATAATCATTACTTCTTTATATATCAAACAGATACTCGCAAACACAAAAAGGGGTACATAAAATACAACAGTTCGGCGTTTGTATCACAAACAAATGGAGCCTATTTGGAAGTGGGGTGCGATTAAGGAAGCAAAGGGTTTACTTATGGCTATAAATTATATTCTCAGGTCCTCTAGGGATTGGAGACGCTCCATTTGCAGAAATTATGGCATTATTTCATGGGATGAGAATGAGACTAAGTAAGCAATTAAAATGTCAGACTAGTGAAGGTAGAAAGGGAACTCAAAGCTGGTAATAAATATCTTGGTTGAAAAGGCAGAAATCAAGGAGTGTGGATGCCGATGCATAGACAAGTTTTTAAGGGAGATTAGAAGCATTGCCAGGGAAGTTGCAGCCACCTTTTTGCTTGAATTAAAAGATCTACAAATGGCTTGGTAGACTTTCCACTCAAGCAAGGGGTCTCCAGGGATAATTTGTTTTGGACTGCATTGTAATACATTTGGGGGTCTCGGGAAATACAGCCTGAGTGGTAATTATCCTATTATCCTAATTAATGAAATCTATTGATCAATAAAAGGCACTTAATGTTAAGCCCAAGAGAAGCTCTTCCATCTGGTGAAAATAATGAGAGGAAGTGGGTACGGCAAACCCAGAAAAATCGCTAGTACCATGCACCATAAGCTGCATTTGTTTCCATGTAAAATGGGTTTGATAAGAAAAGGTTAATATTTAAAAGGCAAAGATGTAACTGATCCATTTCGGGTTGAAAAATACTGTTTCTTCTATGGTGAAACAAATGGAGCAAAAGGAGAAAAAATATGTAATGCATCAAATGCTCAGCCTTTTTCTAGCAAAGGAACATTTATATCATTTCTTTGTAATTATGCCAAAAATAACTTTGTAACGATACACAAAGGGTATAACTTTTTAAGGATACAGTGGAACAAGAGATGGTAATTAAGCAAAACATTAAAAAAAAGAAAAAATTTACAACGAAATCGACCTTAGCTCTAAAAAATCTAAACAACGATTAGCTGATTAGGCATGTTTTAGTAAAAAAGATAACTCTCACGTCAACTGACTACAAACCCATTCACCATGATAAATTCCAAAATTGCACCCTGTGCTCTACCAGTTGAGACAGGAATCAGCCACTGCTGTTACATATATGCTTGCCAAGTAGTCAAGCAACGGCCAACATATCAAACGTCGAAGGGAAACAAGCTGTTGGGGTTACTGTTGACCTTGTTGTCTCTGTTGGAAATTAGGGTTTGCTGCTGCATTCTGAAGAGCTACCATATTAGGTTGCAGATTCTGAGCATTTGCTGGAATGTTTCCAAACCCACCTTGTACACCATGCTGCTGCTGCTGTTGCATTGGCATCATACTAGGATTGGTTGTACCCATGTTAAACACTGCAATGGATTATCACAAGTTGAGATTCAGACTCCGCTCTAATTGTAGACATTGAATCACCTAGATCAGGTGGCCCTCCCATTCGAAAGAACCAATAAATCATAAGAAAGGAAGTCTGTGCTATCTTTCACCATCTTTAGACTCATGAAAAACTTAAAAAATATAGGCTTAGAGAAAATTATAATTAATACATACTTGGATCACTCATCATTTGAGAAGCAGGATTCCGCTGATGGGCACCAGTTAAACCAAACTGAATGCAGAAAATATATTGTCAAATATAAATCAAGTTATAACAAAATAGTATCATTGTAATAATCTAAATCAAATCTATACTTAACATGCTATTGAAAAAGAATATATGCAGTATGCATATCTTAGTCAACCCATTAATGTCAAGATATGATGCCATAAAGAAAAAAATTTAAGACTTCAATCAACAGCAAGATGCAAGCCCTGATTGAAGCTTCATCCTGATTTCTCATTTTGTCAGACAATACAAGAGTCAGCTTTATCATAAATCAAAATGGGAAACACACCAATACCCATTATGGTGAACCCACATGGATAAAGCATGCATACTTGAGTCTTAATGAGATTTTCAAATTTCAACGACACCTAAAACATGATTATCAAGGCCTTGGCTGGGCACCCACCCAGGCAACAAAAATCACAAAGCACTACCTTATTGTAAATTATTCCAGACTAAATCTTATTAATATATGTGTTAATTTAAGAGGAAAAGAATTAAGAAAGATGTGGTTTTTTTAACACTCTCCCTCTTATGTTAACTAGAAAAAGGATTTCGCCCCTCATTCTTTTTCCCTTTCCATTACTCTCATTCTAAAACATTTCTATTAGTAAGTATAACCTTCTTCAGTTGCTAATGATAATTTTTAACTTGCAGTTGCTCTATTAAATACTTGCAATGACACAATGTTGTGTTTGAAATATTGAAATTAATTTATTTAAAATGTTAGTCTCTTTTTTTATAAATAAAATGATAGTCTTTTAAATCAATTATCATTTTATTTTGTTGAAAAATAAAATGATAATTGATTTAAAATTTATGAAAACATTGTGTATCTAAAATGTTAGTCTTTTAGATACACAATATTTTCATAAATTTTAATATACAGCTTAATATTATTAGAAAATATTATTTTTTCTCAATTTATATGCATGCTAATTGGCATGTAAAGTTAACGAACTAATCTAGAATTTAGTTTTATTTTTCTTTGTAAACTTCTATTGCCTAGGCAACACCTAGGTGACTAGGCAATCCACTGTCACCTAGAATTGCCTAGGTGCCTTGACAACTATGTCCTACAACATGGTCAACAATAATCAGGTCAAGTATTGCACCCTGGGACATAATTTGGCACCGTGGAAGGCCCAAATTCAGTTTTTTTTCCTGTTTGATAACATAAGACTATGTAACCTTATCTTGAAGCTTTTAGGTTAACTGGTTTTTTTTTTTTTTACTTTTTTTTTTTTTGCTCCAAGGGGCTACACAACGGGGGTAGCCCATCCCCCAAACCCATTAACCCCCACAACCCAGGTGCAGCTGGGATGCGAACCCAAGTCTCTGCTACAACCAGCAGGAGACCTAACCAACCAGCCAGTTGGCACCATGCAGGTTAACTGGTTTTCTTCCAAAGTTGGTGGAAGCTCTTAGTTGACAGTTAAAGTGTAGGCAGCAAAATGGAAGTAGTTTTAATATCTGTTACCATCACAACAATTTGGGCCACATGAACAGCTACATGGTCAATCTAAAGCTAAAGAATTAGAGAGCTTCCCTAAATGACCTCCTATATGTCTTCTAAGTATACAAATGTCAATTCAAAACACCAAGGTAGAGCATCCTATATTGGTAGCATTGGCATACTTTGGGCGAATGCAAAACCAAGCAGCTTACAAGGGACCTAGTAGTGGCATAGAACTGGATTTATAGAAAAATAAATGGTCTGGATGACTCGCTTGCTAGATGCCTAGACAAGGGATTAACAGGGAACAATTGTATTGGGGAGTTATTAACTGTATAATAGCTATCGGGGTTAGGTAGCAAAGCTAGTCTAACAAGTATACATACCTTATAGGGTTAAGATTCAAATTTTCACATAAGTTTAGAGAGGCTAATAGGGCTGCCAACTGGTTGGCAAAGAAGGCTAGAGTGGGTTCTTCTGTTGGTGGGATGGGTCCTCCCCCCCCTCCCCCCATCCCAATGCTTTGATGTTCCTGTCTTTCTGGGATTGATTGGGTCCTGTTGTTCCTCAGTTTGTGTAGTTTCTTTCCTTCTTACCAAAAAAAGTATACATACCTTATACTGTATCCAACATTCCTTTACTATAATCAATAAAGTTCATCATTACTTATCAAAACCACCACATCAGCCCTAATCACCTTGCATGGTAATTTTTCCAACTAATATTTGTCATTCAAAGTTTCTAATATTTAAAAAAAATAGCAATAAATGGGATTTTCCTTGAACTCATGATAAGGTATTTTATACAAAATTTGTTCCATCAAATATATGGTGGGGAGGGGAACAGCAGACATCCTTTAAACTTCTAGAACATACCAAACACTAACCTGCATACGTGGCAAATGTGACTGTGATGGCATTGCAGCTGACATGTTTGTCATATTTGAAAGCTGAAATAACATAAACCACCTGAAATTTAATGTAATGTAGATAATCTCCAAAATGGGAAAACTATTTACCAATATCAAAGAAGAATAATAAACTCCATGGAAATTAGAAAGGGTTTTCTCTAAATTACAGTGCATAATATATAACAACTCAAAGGTACTGTTCTCATTGACATACCCAAACCATGTTTAAATAGTTTACTCCAAGAAAAGAAACAAATCAAATGGGAAATAACCCAAACTTAGAAAGAAATCAAGAACATATCAACATATCCTACCAAAATGTCAAAAGTCGTCAAAACTAAGATTCTAATAACATATTTCCTAGCTATATTGCTACCTTTCCAAAGAAAGAACTCCCAAAAGTTCCATTTTAGTCATATCTCTTAACATGTCCTCTTCCTTATCCCAAAGAAGTGGGGCTAGCAGAATGTATTCTGCTCCTATTCCACTCTATCCAAGGGCATACCTTCTCAAAGGAACTATTTTTTTTTTCTCACAATTTCATGAGGCAAAATATGCTACCTACACTTCAAATGGTAACCATTTCTGAATACAAGAAACTATAAAAACAGCAAAAAGCTACCCCAGTACAGAACAATAATAAGCACCATGTATTTTCAGTATTTACATTCAAACTTTTATCTCCCTGGGTCCTCAAAAATGATTCTACTCCAAATACATTGAAAATATGTTGTCATACTCCAGTAAAGTAATCTTCTCTAAGAAATCAACAAATCATTCCTAACAACCTCATGAGCTGTAATATGTCACATTAATTGGAAGTATGCCACCACAATCCGGTACAGATTTTCATCTTGTACTTTTTGTGAATATATGATGCCTGTCATATTCAGTTAAGCTCAATCATATTCAGAAGTTTAAATTTCTACCACAGAGACCCACATTGACAAAATGATAAAAATTTAAGAATCTGTTAAGAACCTCTGATGATTTTGGAGCCCATTCTTAAGTAAGTGCCCTTGGAAACTTGCTCTGCACTCAAGAAAAAAAGGGTACATAGATCCCATTTCATGAAAATCAAATTTCCATTGGAGTCAAATGACAATATTTGACAGTACGATCTATAAAAAACGTAAACTTTACTTTTTTTATTCATAGTAATATAATTAATATCGTTCACTGAAATTTAGCTAGTTACAGCCCTAGGTGGTAAGGTTCTCTAAATAAATTTGAAAAATGACTGCAAAGCATTTAAACACTAAAGAAGTCACAAGAAACAACTCAACTATCCAAAATTTCTACCTAACATCCACTTATATTTTAGATCCCAAAAAAGGAAAGGAAGACATTGTCCAATATATTGAAATGTTGTCATATATCTAGAAAAGATATTTCTGAAGAGTTAAGACATTTGACCATTGTTAAGATTCATGATTTATGGAGAAAGTTCATCCTTGAGAAATTGTGCATAGGTTTATTCCTAAACCCATCTTGTAATGTAGGTTAAGATTCATGATTTATCAAAAAAAAGAAATGATGCTTTCATGCTAAATCCCCAAAATGGATGGAACTCTTCTTTGGTTCTCCATGGTTTTAGGATACCCTCCTAGATTTGTCTCTTGCCTATTGATGATTTGATGCTCTCTTGCAGCTCTAATCTTATTGTCATACCTAGAGAGAGTGTATTTTTTCCTTCTGATAGGTAAAAGTATAATTTGTATTCATATTAGTGTTAGAAAAGACAAAGAGGGAGAATCTTCCATACAAAAATAAAGAAAGACAATCCAGTCTTATACAAGTATGATACAACCTAGCATAAGAGAGACATATATTATACATTAAAAATGATAGAAAAGAAAACATAGTCAACCAGTAATATGTAAACAGGAAACTGAATCCCCTCAAAATAGAAGAGAATGAGAAAAGAGTAGCTATTAGCTAATACTGTCAGCTGCATCTCTCTTACACATAGGTCTTGTTACAACTAACTTCCATGTTTCTCTGTTTCCTTTTTTTTCTTTTATTGATTTCTCTCTTTACGAATTTTGTCCTTGGCTCAGAAGAACATCCAGGAGGCCACAACAAAGGAATTACCAAAAGAATGATTCTTTTTTTTTTGATGAATGAAAATAATTTATTAAATCAGAAATATGAGGCAATATAGGAGACCCAAGATGAGGCACGAGTTGTTACCTCATCTAACAAGTATTACATCAAATTAAAACAGAGTTGACCAGAATTAACCAGAACTAAAATTACAAAGCAGCCCAAAATAAATGTTCCCTTGAAGCCCCTTGCTTAGCTAACCCATCTGCTAAGGAATTTGCTAATCTTCCCACCCAAAGAAGGGTAACAGTCATGTTTCTTGTGATCTAGTTGACTTTTCTTAACATATCTCTATGTCGCCACATAGCTGAAGCTGGTTCTGTCAGCCATCCCACAACAATCTCAGAGTCCCCTTCAACTACCAAATTCTGAACTCATAATTGTTCTGCAATCTGAATACCTTGTACCACCGCTAACATCTCAGCTCTATTGGAGTCTCCTATTCCCACGGGGCCTGAAAACAATGCTAATATTTTGCTTTCATTATCTCTCAGCACCCCTCCTATCCCCAATGGGCCTGGATTTCCTTGGTTGCTTCCATCAAAATTCAGCTTTACCCATCCTTCAGGTGGAGGCATCCACACTACAGATTTCCTGTCCTTCCTTTTATGGCTGTTAGCCACCGCTATCCAGTTTCTCCAAAGATCATCAAAGGAAAATGTATGAAATAAGTTCATGGTTCTTAACCAATGAATGGCCCTAGTTAAGATACAGTCCTCAACAGCTTGAGTGCTTCTTTCCTCCTCCTTAAATACCCTTGCTTTCCTTTCTTCCCAGATTGTCCACAAGGCGGCTGTTCTAAGACATCTCCACATTATTTTTCCTTTTTTTGTAGGCCACACAAAAAAGGAAGGATCGAACAGTTGACTTAAATCTGTGGACAGCAGATTCCACCTGCACCCAAACAAAGAGAAAATCCAACTCCAAATAGCACTAGAAAAGGAACAAGATACAAGTGAGAGATATCCTCACCACTAGCCCTGTAAAGTATATACCAGTTAGGGAACAAACACAAAGAAGGCCTTTTCCTCTACAAACACACCGGCCTAGGCCATATCTCCTTGGTTGGAAAACCCCACTGTCCCTGGGAAGAGCAAAGGGATTTAAAAAAGGAAGCACAAGTGAAGTAGCCTTTTGGTGAGGGGACCATAATCTCACATCCAAACTAAGGGGGTCCAAAAAGACACAGCCAAGAAGGGACAACAGATCTGAAACACTGTTAAGTTCATCATCCCTCAAGCCTCTACGAAAGCCAAAGTCCCAACTTAAGGAGGGGGGTGAAATAGGAGATGGGAGAAAATGAGAGATAGCTTTTTCCTTGTAAAGGGAAATAGAATAGAGAGACGGGAATTGGTCCTTAAGGGCAACGTTACCCACCCAAATGTCTTCCCAAAATAAAACAGAGGTACTGGAATTGACATCATACCTGACAAGGTTGAGAAACTGGGGGAGGATACTCTGGATTGCTTTCCATGGGTAAGCCAACGTAGCTTGACGTGATACACCCGCATCCCATCCATTTTCCAGTCTACCATGTATATTAGCTATCACTTCGTGCCACAACCTCTCCCTTTCTCTAGGCCATCTCCACAACCACTTTCCTAAGAGAGCTTTATTCTTGAGAGTTAACCTTCCTAGTCCCAAGACACCTTCCTCTTTACTCCTACAAACTATTTCCCAGTTAACTAGGTGGTTTTTCTTTTCCTCCCCCGGCTCCCAAAGGAAATTTCTCATTAATCTCTCCAACTTCTTAGCTTCCCTATTAGGAATCTTGAAAGCGGAGAGAAAATAGACCGGTAGGTTACCTAGGGTAGCTCTCAATAAAGTCACTCTACCCCCTATAGAGATGTAGTTCTTTTTCCAAGAAGTTAATCTTTTCTCAAACTTTTCCAACACTGGGGTCCAAAAACTACTCTCTTATGAGTTAGCCCCTAGAGGGAGACCTAAGTACTGCAAAGGCCAAGTGGAGACAGAACAACCTAAACAATCTGCCACAGACTAAATAATCCCCTCATTCATATTAACACCTACCACACAACTCTTCTCCAGGTTTATTCTCAAATTTGATACCTCCTCAAAGTGTTGTATCAATGCTCTGAGATTCTTCACTTTTTGCCTGTCACCCCCTTTATTGAAGCACTCAAAAAAGGTAAGGGCATAAATATACTGGTTATAGCTTCCTAAAAGGTAAGGTGGGTCAGATAGAACTGAACTATTGGAATACTCTTCAGGTCATGTTCAACTACTGTTAGGGCCTTCAGTCAGCGACTAGTAATGCCAATTCCCTACAAGCCAAGGCAAGAGCCCTTCCAATGGGCACATGCGTAGAAAATTAACTCCATTCCTCCTTAGCCATGTAGGGAGATTAGGCTAATTCAATTAGATGAAGCCAAAGGGTGGGTAGTGGCCTTGCCCTCTTTTTAAATGAGATGACAGAAACAGTGATAAGTAGATAACTGCAGATATGATGGATCCCAAGGGATCTGAAATCTCTAGCAGATGGTCAAGCCAAACCTAGAGTCTGGAAGGTATTTTTGTATGGTGACAGCTCTTAACCAGATCTGGGTTGCTTGATCATATTACTTGGAATCTTTGTGCATCCTCTCATGTACAACCTTCGATTTTGTTATGTAATTTAATACATATTAGTTACCTTTTCACAAAAATAGAAAAAAAAAAAAAAGATCTTCTCTAGGTAAGTTGTCCAAATAAAGCAATGTAACCCTACTAGGGATATGGGGAAACCAAATTAAAGAAATGGAAAAGGGCTTCCCACATTGTTTTACATTTCTCCTGGAGAACACTTGTGTCTTGCTAGAGAGGGAAGCACTTATTTTTTAATGGTGTTCAGCAATCAAGATAAGAAGTGCTTCTAGCAAAGCTGGACTGCTGGAGTCACTTTCTTTCTTCAGATTCTGAAGGCCCAAAATTGGTACTCATGGCTTTTGACATCTACATGAAGTAGACAATTTAAACATGTGCTGAGATGTTAATAACTTAACATTAAGATTCCATGTCAATTTTCTAAACTACACCTACAATACTTCTAATAATTTAAGTGACTAATGCAGCTTATGTACAAAATCTGCTTCTGCGTAAAAAGAAACCACCAAAAAAACTATGGAGAATCCCTTCCATTTTATAGGTGCTTCCATAAAGTTCTTATCCAGAAAGGCATATGAAAACCAAGAGAAAGTTTAAAAACAACCTTAGTGTCCACGTGTTCTATTATACATGCAAACTGATGTTTTTACCACTTCAAAAACCAAATAAGAAGGTCCCTGCCTACCAGATAACAAACCAGTCAAAGGACTTCACTTTGCATGGCATCTTTACCTTGACAGTATTCTTACAATAAAGCACCTGAAAAGTAGGGGGTTTTGTTTGGCAAGACTGTGCATTATGTGTGGCAATCATGAAGACACATCCATTCAGAAATTGCAAAGTAGCAGACTTTATTTAGGGGTTCTTTGCTGAATTATTTGGTAGGACTAGACATTAACCTGATAATCCAAAAGAGATCTTTTCGAAATGACCAGATTTTTCTGGAAGAAGTCACAAATATATTGGAGTACAATTTTTGCATTCTGTTGAGGAACATGGAGAAAAAGAAAAAGAATTTATAAATGAAAATCTACAGACATTAGAAAAGTTGTGGCTGATATCAAGCCTCTCATTAAGGATTGGTTACTCACTCATCCTAATTTAGATATGCATCTTGATTTTCATTTGGAGCTGATTTATGATCAATACTGGAAATGGATGATGGTAGTTGTATTATTGTAAACTTATTGGTTTGTATTATTATGTATATTTTTTGAGAGCTTGGCTGAGATAGACCTCAGCATGGACCAGGTTGTAATCACTTTCATATTTTATTTTAATAAAAGTTTTTCTGTTTTCTTTACTTTAAAAAAAATAATAATAACTTCACCAAATGAAAACCATTAGGGTTCACCACCAACACTCATCTAGTTTTCATGTCATTTGAGGAAAAATCCTCCACCAAATGAGTCCACATCCCAATAGTTGAGACTTGAGATATCTCCAAAGGCTAGGAAAGAAATCAGCATTGTCTATCACCCATTTATTAAAATTCTTCGCCACCTCCTCTCTATACATGGTCAAGGATAAATATCATGGAGAGAGTGCACCAAACAACTCTATCCCAACCAAATGTCCTCCCAAAGTTGAATCTGATCTTCTCCAATTTCAAAAAAGATTAACCAATCAAACTCATCAAACATCCTTAATTCTCCACACACTAATTAGCTACCTTAAACTTCTTGACTCTCTCATCTTAATTGAGAGTTGCCATAATTACAATAAATGACTTCTATTCATAGGCAATCTAATCCTCTGTGTATCCACAAAACAACTTCCTAGAAAAGGCTTTACTGGATTGTAAACAATCCAATGCAAAATAACTTTAACAAAGCATTTCTAGTTTACTATCAGAAATACCACACACACACACACATACATATACAAAATAGACTTAAGAGTCTTAATAGGACTTTTTGGGTATCACACCCAAAACTATAAATCTCTCTTAGAGCAGTTGTGGCACACAATCAAGTATTGCAGCAGCAGCAGTAACTCTTAATCTATTCAACCTTACTTCAAAATTATAAAGATTAAAACTATTTATTGGTTATTAGAAGGGGGGTTGTGCAGCCAGCCTAATAAGGAAATTACAATTCTACTCCTGTATACAAAGTGCAAAAGAAATATTAATAAATCTTAGACTATAGATATGGTAGCAGGAAGCTATCAAAAATATTCTTGAGCCCAAAAAAAATTAAAGCAACAAAAGAAAGACATACTAGACCTTTGAACCCCCTTTGACTTCCTAAAACATCTTTCCCTTTTTCTTTTTTCTTTTTATTCTTGTTCTTTGAGAGAGGGAGAGGGGGGAGAGAGAGAAAGAGTGAATACTGATCATACTAAGAAATAAAACAAAAGATTTATACAGAAAGACCTACATTCTACAATGACATAATAATGAAAGGTATACAGTATACAGCCTGAAACCTATATCTTGCACTCACACACACACAAAGACCTTAAAGAAGACAGACATAGAGCTTCAACACCCAAAAGAAATGGAAAAAAAAAAAGAAAAAACAAAATACTATCTATGATCCATCCAGGATATTATGGTTTTAGAATCCCCTTACCAGTATATCAGTAAATCCAGAACAACTACCAATTTCAATCCTTGAATAACAGCTTCAAGATCTGCTTCAGTGGATTGCCAATTCCTATTAGCCCAGAGAATGCCATTTTGGCTTCCCCAATTAAATCTCTAAATGCATGTTATGGGCCCAAGCGTAGGATCGCGTCACGGGTCGTTCCACAGCAGGAACCTCTGATCTTCCCTTGCCCTTGGCCTTGCGCACAGACCCTATTTTGCCTATCTAGTGGGTGATTTGTCCAAGRGACCACCCGAACTCTCCCTTGGGGTGATTTGTCCAAGAGACCACCCAAACTCTCCTCACTCTTTTCTTGGCTGGAAA